CAAACAGAATCCAACCAGCCCTCTGTGCGTCGGTGGTTTCGGGAGGTTCCTCTTCCACCCCTCCTTCTTCCCCTTCGGGGAGGGGTTTATCACTGTTCCCTATTAATAAACACCCCCTCCCCCAGGCGACCGGGGGCCAACCCGAGTCCATGACGACCCCCCCCCCACACCATCCCTTGTAAAAAGCAATACGCAACACACTCTGCCTCCAAATTCGGAAAACGCGCAGCCAACCCGATGCGGCCCCCCCCCACCATCCCTGTCAAAAAAAAATACAGGGTACACTTGGCGGCGGCGGCGGCGGCTGCGGCGGCTGCGGCGGCTGCGGCGGCGGTGGCGGCGGCTGCGGCGGCTGCGGCGGCGGCGGCGGCGGCGGCGGGGGGGGGGCGGCGGCGGCGGCTCGTCCTCCCCGACGGCGGGCGGCGGCGGCGGCGGCGGCGGCGGATGGCCCCCGTAGCTGCCCATCCCAAGGGCGACTGTGAATATTGCTCAGGCTCGGGCCAAGACTCGGGTGCGGTACGATGTGTTGGGGGGCGGGTGGGAGTGAGCGCGACGGCTCGCGGGCGGGTGAGGGGGTCTGACCCTCCCCGACCTCCCCATGGACCTGGACAGGGGGTTTCGCGAGGCGTCGGAGCGTCCAAAACGGCCTCGGCGAGGAAGTCAAAATTATCCCGGCAAAGCAACCTAACAGCCATGTGTAGGAGCCGGCCGGGGCAGCCGGCCGCCCTCCCCTCCTGCTCGTCCTCCTCCTCCTCCTCCTGCTCGTCCTCGTGCTCCTCCTGCTCGTCCTCTTTCTCCTGCTCCTCCTCCTCCTCCTCCTCCTCCTCCTCCTCCTCTTCCTCCTCCTCCTCCTCCTCCTCATTTTTCTCCTGCTCCTCCTCCTCCTCCTCCTCCTCCTCCTCCTCCTCCTCTTCCTCCTGCTCGTCCTCGTTCTCGTCCTCCTCGTCTTGCTCGTCCTCCTCCTCCTGGTGCTCTCTCCTCCTCCTCCTCCTCCTCCTCCTCCTCCTCCTCCTGGTGGTCCTCGTTCTCCTCCTCCTGGTGCTCTCCCCCCCCCTCCTCCTCGTCCTCCTCCTCCTCCTCCTCCTCCTCGTCCTCCTCCTCCTCCTCTTCCTCCTCCTCCTCCTCCTCCTCCTCCTCCTCCTCCTCCTGGTAGTCCTCCCCCTCCCCTCCTCCTCCTCCTCCTCCTCCTCCTCTTCCTGGTCGTCCTCGTTCTCGTCCTCCTCGTCTTGCTCGTCCTCCTCCTCCTGGTGTTCTCTCCTCCTCCTCCTCCTCCTCCTCCTCCTCCTCCTCCTCCTCCTCCTCCTCCTCCTCCTCCTCCTCCTCCTCCTGGTGGTCCTCGTTCTCCTCCTCCTGGTGCTCTCCCCCCCCCTCCTCCTCCTCATCCTCGTCCTCCTCCTCCTCCTCCTCCTCCTCCTCCTCCTCCTCCTCCTCCTCCTCCTCCCCGTTCCTCTCATCCTCCTCCTCCGTTTCCTCGTCCTTCTCTCCTCCTCCTCCTTCTCCTCCTGGTCGTCCCACCCTCCCCTCCTCTCCTCCTCCTCCTCTTCCTGGTCGTCCTCCTCCTCCTGGTCGTCCTCCTCATCCTGCTCGTCCTCCTCCTCCTCCTGCTCGTCCTTCTTCTCCTGCTCCTCCTGCTCCTCGTCCTGCTCCTGCTCGTCCTCGTCCTCCTGGTCTTGCTCGTCCTCCTCCTCGTCGTGCTCTTGCCCCTGCTGAAAATGTGGCCCAGGAATGGGAGTTCTGGAAAGTCGAAGAGCACGAAGTTGCCTACAGTTGGCTACGGGCATTCAAAATGTGGCCCGGGAATGGAGTTCTGGGAACTCGAAGAGCACGAAGTGGCCTACAGTTGGCTCCGGGCATTCAAAATGTGGCCCGGGAATGGAGTTCTGCGGACTCGAAGACCACGAAGTGGCCTACAGTTGGCTCCGGGCATTAAAAATGTGGCCCGGGAATGGAGTTCTGGGAAGTCGAAGACCACGAAGTGGCCTACAGCTGCTCCGGGCATTCAAAATGTGGCCCGGGAATGGAGTTCTGGGAACTCAAGACCACGAAGTGGCCTACAGTTGGCTCCGGGCATTCAGAATGTGGCCCGGGAATGGAGTTCTGGGAAGTCGAAGAGCACGAAGTGTGTGACTGTTGGCTTAAAATGAGTTCTGCGGCACCCTGTCCGGCACCCGCCCAGACCCCCCTGTGGAGTCATCTGCTGCTCTCTTTTGAGACCACTAGAAACCTATCAGTCTTCGCTGTTAGGTAATCATTGGTGTT